TTTTTTTTTTTTTTTGGTAAATGTCAGCCAGAACTGTAACGTATATAGACTTCAATTAAGTCCCCATTTACCTAAAATTAGAAGCTGCTCTCAAAACAGATCATCTTAAAACAATGCTAATTGGAAACATTTTAATGGGAAAAAAAATAGCCAATACTTGGGCTTGCTTTTAAGGATTCTTGTGGAAAAAGAGGGGAGGAAGTCACCACTGGGAGAGAATTTGCCTAAGAGTTGTTTTCTCCTAATCTCTGTTTTGTTTGCTGTTATTTCCAGGCAAGCTTGCTGTAGATACTGTTACACTGAGAATTAAACTCTCTAAAAGGACAACTAAAAATTCAGTCAGGGTTGAATGGACAGTGTAGTAATACTGATCCAGCTCCTGCAAGGACAGGTTCTCTCCAAACATCCTCTGTTGTTGGAGTCACTGGATGCTCAATCCCCTCCTGCCTTTTCTGGCCCTTCCTTAGGTGTCCAAATGGAGGCACAGCTTTTCTGAACATCTGTCACCTAAAGAAGCTTCCAGACAGAGCCTGGCTTGATGGAATGATCCCTCTGCTGCTACTCACCCTCAACCAGGCAGGGAACCCTTTAGCAGTAAAAATAAAGAACTGGGCAATCAATATGTCTCATGTTCATCCCTTCCAACCCAAACCATTCTGCAATTATCTGAGATAAATTTGTTGGCACCAAGGAGAAATACCAAAATGGCAGTATACCCTCTGGGAGCAAAATGGGTCATTGTAATCCTGCGAAACTTTTTGTTTTACGATCAAGAACCCCCTGAGCATGAGGTCATTCATGCCTCATCCTACTAAACACTTTGGAATTCTTTTACCAAAAAGAAAGGAAAGCAAGAGAAAAGAAGCATACACACGTTTTCATTAAACAACTCTATTTCCCCTCCTCCATACAGAATGATAACTCTTTTGCTGCACTTCTCTCCAGTGAAGCCACAACCTTCGTTTGCAATCAGTATCCTGAATGTTCCAGGGTCATCCCTGCAGAAATCCTGCCAGATAAAAAAAAAAAAATAAATAAATCAATGAGTCAGTAACATGGAACATTTAAAAAACACAGACAAACACTTAGAGCAAATAGAAGCCTCAGATAACAAACACCCTGTGTAATCTTGGCCAATAGGATATATCTTGGCATGTCAAATATTCCCATATTCATATATTTTGTGCTTAGCCTTGATATTCCTGTGGCCCATCCCTGAATACACACATACTATTTTATTTACAAGACTCTGAAGCTTCAATGCAAAAATTCAAATACAAATTTAGAAGGTTAGGTTAGAAGGAAGAATCAGGAAGAAATTGGCAGCCTTGAACAAAAAGTTTGATTCCCACGTTTTCCTACCTGTGCAATAAAAAACAATTACAGTAATGCCAAACCTATTTCTTGGGGAGCAATGATGTAGTGCAATGTAGAGATGAGGTTCAGACAACTCTTCTCTCATAAGGTTTGTTACTGCCAGCTAGACAAGTGACAACCTAAATCTCTAGACAACAAAAAATGGAACCTTCAAAATTCTCAAGACATCTTCAAGTCTTAAAGCTCTACCCTCCTCTACCATCCATCTGGCTCGCTAATTAAAAATATTTTACTGTGATTTATCCCAACACTGGCCTTCTCACCTGATGTCAAACACCTTGTCCATATATATTATCAGGCAGCTTTAGCATTTGGCACCT